GAATTGTCCAAAACTTCCTCAGCACTGCCACATAGTGATTTAAGGAGAAAAAGAACATAACTTTTATGCAAAGCAACCAAAAAAAATGAAACTTTGGGGAATGATCATGCAAGTATAAGTCCCGCTAATTTTATTAAATTTGGTGGACCTTTGTAGGGTTTAATAGAATTTTTATGGGTTTTGTTATTGTTTTGGGTCGCCCTGTAATTGCAAGAAGATTCTTATTATTACAACCCTGTCTAATGTCCTCTCCAAATTGAATGTTAACTAACAGGGAAAGCAGATACAAATGACCCATTACTCACCTATCAGCTGCTGCCCCCTAGGGACTAGATTAACTGGGAGCTAAGTATCCCATAGCTGCCATGGTTATTGACTCAGTTTTCAATATCTGTTCCCTAGGTGTTGTTCTGATACATTAAAGCATTTCCCTTGTGACAAGTTGTGTGCAAGCAAAATGAAAATAGAGCTGGGTGCGACTTTGGGTCAGCGATTGCGAATTTGAAATTTCAATGATGATTCTTTGAATTTTTTACATCTGGTGATTTTGAAGCTTGCATGTACATGTAACTTTTATATTGCCATTATTACCATTGGTCTGTTATTTCATGGCACATTCAAGAATGAATAAATGATTTAAACAAATCAATGTTTAAGGAATAAATAAATGTTAAAAGAACAAATAAATAAATTTTTTAATGAAACAAATTAATGAAAATTAAGACAAGGATTTGATTTGAAACCTGCCTGTCTTAGTGGAAACCAGAGTGATGTGAACAAATAGTTAATAAAGGATCAAAAATCCAAACAAACAAACAAATTTTAGATTATGTATTATGGTATTTAATCTAAACCGCTGATGATGTTTTAGTTATTATCGATATGGTTCAAGTCCATCTTAACAAGAGCATCTTAATGAAAGCAGAGAGGATATTGACACTGATCGTACATGGAACATGATGAATAGAGACTCAATATCACACAAATCATCACACCTACAATATGTGTTAAGATTTTCAATAGTTTTTTGTGTTCTATGTGTTTGGACAATCACTCTTCTATATACTATATAGCCTTTATGTGTTTGTATTTAGACTGACGATGATGCATATTGTAAAGTGCACAAATACTGGGCCTGTATGTAAACCTACACACACACACACACACACACACACACACACACACACAATAAACACTTATTTAACTTGTCAGCTAGTGAGCTTTAATTTGGGCAATTACTGTTAAACACTGAATGTCAAAATCATTAGAAGTCAAGCTGAGGGGAAACATTTTTGTAATCACATTTAAGAGGAGTGTCAAATTATCAAAGGACTCCCATCAAGGATTCATCTAAAACAAGTGGGGAATCAAAATGTTTTGAGTGGTTAAAGACAGATAAATGGCGGAAACTTCAAGCTGATAATCAACTCAAAGACGTCTGAAAATGTAGGTTAGGATTTAGAATTTAAAGGACTGATGGAAATTTTTTAAAGGAGTATTTTTAAAAGCTGTTCATGTGAAGTCGCCATCATGGTGACTTTTTGCTAGTGTGTTATTTAAATCCAGTTTTAAAGTTCAGTGGCTCTCAGAATGAGACAGTATATAGTCAAATAAGCCACATATTATCATTTAACTGACCAATCATCTTTTCAATTTAGTGACTATAATCAAATGTGTTCAATTCCAGTCAATTGAATTTTTAGAGGACCGGTTGTGTGTGTACCAAGTTATTGATTACTTAATGATTGTATCTGGGCTTATTAGGGCAAATTTGTATTAAAACTGGGAACTGCCCACTAATTTCAGGTGTTTTTTCAAACCAGTTTTATCACAAACAGCTGCCACACCTTTTCTGTGCAGGTAAGAGAAATGTGCTCTTGATCTATGTGAACAATCAGTGGTCATTTCCTTTTCTCACTCAAAATGTTATATTTAGTGTTAATTCAAAACCATGAAGTACATTTGTGAGTATGGTGAAGTATTCATCAAAATGAAATACCTGATTGCCAAATCTGTTGCCATAGCCACCCCCACTTACATGCATTGACGTGTATTCTAAAGTGGTGCAGTTTGATATGCCAGTCGATGTAAAGTAAGCAGTTATTAGTTTTTTGGGTTTATTGGTCTTGTACTGTGCATTGTATACTTTGTGTCACTTAGGGACTGTTCACTATGAATGTTGTAGACCTAGCTAATGTGCACTAACTCCACAGGGACTCTAGCTGAATGCAATCAGATAAACAGACTAAATCTTCCTCTTGATTCCAACGTACCTGTATGATCACCAGAAAGAAGGAGGCATGCTGGTCTGTTAATCTGATTGCTACATCAAGCCCTGGAGAGTGCCAGGACTTTTACATATGACATCATTTCATATTAAATTAAATTAAATTCATGAAGCATAAAAATGAAAGGTCATTTTTTATTATATCGTAATGCTTCTAAGATCTAAAGACAAGGGTCGATTCACTTTTTATCTAGCTAAATTGGTTCTAAATTGGTCTTGATAATAAACTTACTATAACAGTGTTGATAGTCATCAAGTGGGTGCGAACAGAGCACAGTTTTTTAAGCAATTGGTATTTGACTTTTAAAAGCGAGTGTCTTATGTTTGGTTTGGTTGCAGTCAAAACTTTTCAATAGCTTTAGAGTTAATATATTTCAGAGTTAGCTAAAACAAGACTGAAGTGAATGCACCCATAGATATTACATTAGATATGGTAGGAACAAAGCTATCAGTTAAGCAAGGCTGAAATGTAAAGGTGCTGTTGATCATCTAACCCTCTATCCCCAGATGCCCAAGTTGAAAGATAATACCACATTTTGACAACCTTGACCAACAGATGAACCCCTCTCAATTGTTGGCTTTTTCATATTATTTAAGTAATTTTAAGTTTTAAGGTGTACATGGGATAGGTCCCTCAGAAAATGATGCTACTTTCCCATTAATTTATGTAGATTAAATTGTACTCATTTTCATTTAAATATTTATGATAAAATTATGAGTACTGCCAACCACGAACCAACATCAATTGCTGTCGGGGTTAATTAAAAGCTGCTGTTTATTTTTTTGCTGGTATCATGTCAGAAATTGATAAGGAAAGTGTCCATCGACTTTGCAAAAACTACTTCCTGTTTTGGTTAGGTAGATACTTGCTTCAGCCTCTTTTTATACAGGGCATTGCAATCAGTGTGATGAAATATAGAATGATAATCAAAATTAAAATTGTTAAATAGGCAAGATGTCAAATACTTGCCAAAGGTAAGCAGAAAAAAATTCTTTATGTACTCATCTTAAGGCAAAAGGACTAAGTGATTTATAGGAATGGTCTTTCATTAATTAATAAAGTGCAAGTTTATCTTTTTGGGGCAGGCGCACAGTCAAGGGGCTATAGGTACTAGAGTATCTTTTGTTGTCCATGTTGTAAGACAAAAAGCTGTTTACATGATGACTAAGATTTCTATTGATAACAGTGAAAAAAGGAAAGGGTGGTCATCATTGTCAGTTAAAGACTGTTTAATGTTAAAAGTTTATACATATGACCAGTTTTTGGATGGTATAATTTAAATTCAGTGAATCTCATGCTGCTGATGTAAGTTTTTTTTTTTTTTTTTTTTTTTGGGGGGGGGGGGATAGCATTTGCCTTCACAGTTAATGAAAAATTTTGAGGAACACTTGGATATCCCAATTGTTTTTTTTTCTGCACCTGAAGTATCCACTGCTTCATGATCTAATAATGATGTCTGCTGATAACCATCTGCACTAACTCCATGTCTTTGTCTGATAAGTGTTAAGAGGCTGTTTTCACTAGCTCTAAGATAAAGGTTAGTCACTGCTTGGACATAATAACGAATATAATGTTATTATGTCCAAGGTCACTGTCAGCACTCTGCAACTCAGTAACTTCTGGTTCTATTGAGTTGATATATTTTCTTTTTGTTTATTTATCTTAATATTGTGCAAATTAACGTGGCATACTTATCATGAAAATAATAGGGTCATGTTCAGTAGGTGCAAATTAATACGCTGCTACAGTATATAAAATATATGTTGTTTATTGTCTTTATTGAATGTCATGCAGCAGGTGGATGAGAGACTGTCATCTGTTTTGCAGCCCGCAATTTCAAAGAGGGGGTGGAGGGGATTATTGCCAGTAATTTACTTTTTGGATATTTTATGGTAAATGGAGAAAGATAACCATTTATATGGCCTCACTGTGGTTTCATTAGTTTTTTTTACTCATTTTAATGGAAAATGTTGGAAATTGAAATGGAAATAAAATTACATGTTATATATTAGTATGAATGTCTATGTCATTTGAACCTGTCCAACTCATACCTGTAACTCATTTTATCCAACTCATACCTGTATATATATATTTAACGTTTTAACATAATTGTGCTATAATTTTATTTTGGGACTGAGGAGGATAGTTTTCCATGGTTTTTAAATATGCACAAATGTTCATGACCATAGGGCTATTGTTTTTGTGGTATAGTAAATTTAAGCTGGGGAATGCAGTGTTTTCTTTTTCACATCTTGATAAAAATCTAGCAATCTTAAATTATGGTCATTGAAATGATGACCTAAGATATGTGGCCAAAATTCAGACTAAAATCACCTCTGTCATCAAAGTACCATCATTGAAGTCCTGGGTTGAATTTGTTTTTGAGAAACCAAGCCATATTTCCAGTTTTGTTGCTAGTAAATAATACTTGTTGTCATTATGGAAATTTAATGCTATTAACATTCCTAAACCTTTATCTATGATATATATATACAAGTCCTTCAAGCAGCAACCCCTCCCCCCCTCCCCCTAACTAACAACATCCTGTAACAGTCAGTTCTCCTTTCTATTAATAGAATAAATTTTACAATATTTATCATTGTGTAGTCATATTTAAGTGTCTGTCCTGGCTGGTAATGGTGTTGGTCAAGAGATGATAGATAAATAGATATATATAGAACTGCCCATTTTATTCCATTACAGGCATGGGACTGTAACAGTTGAACTATCATCTAAATGGCCATTGATATTGGATAGACTTAATTTCAGTTAACATCAGGTTCAACTTAAACCTGGAAATGGCCTAACTCACTGCAACCTACAGCTTGATTGATAAATCATACTTGGATGTCAAAAAGTGTGCATTGTTCTGGGGAGCCTTGTGTGTGTTCTCTTTGCTTTCTAATACTGAGTGGGTGGCAGTGCAGAGAGAGAGAGATACCATGGAAGCTCTCTTCATTACCACAGGTCTGACGTGAAGAAGTGTGCAAAGCTCATTGGCTGAGGGAGACTCCAGTTTTATCTCATCACAGAATCTAGGTGCATTAGTATTTCTTCTGGCAGGCACTGGTCAGCTGATGGACAAGTGAAGTTTCATATGTACTTTTAACATTGATACATGTAGATGGACATGCACTGTATCCTAAGGTAATCTAAAGGTACACTTTAATTTATTTTTCAAATATTTTCCTTCCAAGTGGATTATTCTGACCTTTAAATCACAACAAACACTGCAGTACATTTTTCAGTAATCAGTCTGTTTGTGGTCAGCTGTGTCTGATGTCCATCTTTAAATATGAATTCAGCATCTGTATTTTTGAGTAGACACAGGAGAAAAAACTTTATTATAAGTTCATGTGGGTTAATTATTATATTTATCCATTTTGAATCCTTAGGTCTTTAGGGAACCACAACTTTCATTTTATTGAAATGAAATCTTATTTGATATATCCTCATCTCATAAAAAATTTGAGGGGACTCCAAGTTTGATTATTTCCGAGATGTGCCACCATCTCAGTCATTTTTATCTGGTTTTGTATTAATTTGTTTTCTTTTTGTATAGGCATGAGATTTAAGGATTCTAATTAAAGATAACTATAAATTCATGAATTTCGTCTTCTTAGGTTTTTGATTAAATTCCAATAAATGTAGTTGGTATCATGAAAATATAAAGGACATAGTGGTTTAGACCATTTGGATATTATGTCATATACTAGGCATCATGGCCATTCCATTTCACAAGTTTTTCAGTTTGCTTTCTGCTGTGAAAAATAGGATAATTGCACTTGCATTTTGATTACATGTTTGCATGTATTTTCATATGATTCAGTAGGTTCATCCTATTGTTCAAAGCACCAGCTATGGGATAAGTCAGTTACAACTACTCATTGTCCACTGCATAGGACATACAAGAGCAAATTATTACTTGGTTGGCCTCGATGTGATTACAGTTGGCTCTTGTATGTCACATACAGTAGATAATTTGTTTTGTAACTATGTAGTACTTCTAAGAGACCATTCCCACAGATATTTAGATCGATCTTTCCCCCTGGGGAGTCTCTACTCATTTGATTTTTAAATGATAATTTCTTAGACTAATACCCCCAGTATGTTTTAGTACACATGAAATAAAACACATCAGAAAACATTTCAGTGTGTTAAAAAATCCTTAAAAATTGTGTAGCAAATAAGTTTGGACATTGTGTATTAATACCCAAAATATAAAAAAAACAGAAATGCTAAATTTTGAACTTCTATAAAATTCAAGTGGTCAGAATAACCTTTGATTCTAATCATTTAATAGCCATGGGTGTGAAGTCAACATGCCTTGAATATATGTAGTATAAAAAGATGTTTATTTCCATAGGGATGTGTTTAGTCACCAAACCAATCGTCACTGTTATAAATAGCTGTATACAACCAAAGTTGTGCCAGTTAAGGATCACCTGTCAACACCAGATCTTGATGGGCTATGAGTTAATTAGTCATGAGTTAATAAAGCTTGCCTCAGAGTCTCAGTTCATGGACCTAGTTATGTTTTGCTAATATTTATTTCCCATTCATTTATATTATATTAAACTGCAGGTGGAAATTATTCCTGAAACATATTTCATCTATAATGTAAATGTTTTTGTTGCATCTGTTTGTCTATAGTTCAGTTTGGCTGTAATGATAAATGCCCTAGATAAAAGGATAATGATCAACTTGCTCCAGTGAACCAGTGAATTTTTTTTTTTTTTTTTTGGGGGGGGGGAAGCAATTTTCAAGAAAAATTATCTTGTTCTGAGAGTCAATTATTTAAATGCTCCTATGGAACTTACTGTGACATAATAATCCTTTGTATCTTTGCTTTTTGAAAATTGGCTATGAATAGTGTAAAATTTCATATAATAATTGATTTTGACACCAGTCCTATTACTTTTCAGACCTACTTAACTTTTCTATTCATTTAATGATATAGCATGACTTTTATCTTGTTGTTTTAAAGGATGTGGCATTGTGTGATTTTTTAAATTTCTTGTTTTCCCTTGCTAAAAGAGAAATCTAAAGTGTACTAAAGTCTGTTTTTATTCTAGTTGACATACCTTAACCTAGTCCCTAACATCTTAATATACAATTTTCTGACTAATGACTAATGACCCCATTCCCATGGTCTACGTAGAACAATCCAACTCTGTGGGGACTCTGGCTGAGTGCAATCAGCTTAACTGAATGGCATTGAGTAGAATAAATAAAAGCTGGTGATTATCCCAGTACCGGTATGTTGGAAACAAGAGGGGGTATGTCACTCAGTATGTCCCCAAGTTGGATCATCTACATAGATTGATGGTGTCCATGAGAATGGGGTCCTTTATGACTAGCTCACCATGGGGAGCAAATCAAATCTTGGCGTAAGTCCACCCGTTGCCATTCCAACCGCTGAGCACACCACACTTCATGCTAAGTCTTTTTAAATATCTGGAGTTGCAATGACTGCAAGACCTGATGCAGCCCTTCCTGCCACATATTAACCCAGTGAATAAATGAATCTATTAATTAGAAAATAATTGATAATAGTTATCAACAGGATGATGATGGTCTCTGATGACTTAGTCAGTATCATCCATCAATTGTTTTAACAGAACCTGAAGATGTTCATCATTAATTGTGACAACAAAATGCCATTATAATCTATTTTGATGGATGACCTAGGCTAAATCATTAACTGATGAAAGTAGGCAAAATACTCAGTAATCTTAGTGAAAACAGACACCAGGTATGATGATGTAGTTCAGTACCCCTTGCACAGGGGTAGGTGGCAGTGTAATTTCTTTGTATTTTTAATGAAATCAGTTCAAAGGCTTTATTGAAATGTCTTTGTTGTAACTGTCTAGCTATCACCACACAACCAAGTCAATTCACAATGACAGTGATTTATGTCTGGAGTATCAATGTGTTGCTTAGTAATCCAGTCCTCTTGCAGGAAGACTATCTTGCATGAAGTATGTGTTCTGATACCACAACTTGCACCTGGCATAGCTTTGGTTTGTCAGAATCTTGGACAAATAAAATATTTTATTTGTCGAGGTCTGAATACAGCATTATTGTTTCATATCTGATGAAAGGCAATTATGCCCTAAAATGTTTTCCTTGTCTGCATCAGTCGTCTTATTTTTTGTCATACCAGAAGAGCTTTTTATGATACTGAGAAGAGAAAAAACAGGATATTACTGTTCTAAAAAATTTCCTATTTTGTCACTTACCAATGTGTCTCAGTGTGAGAGGGCTATTAGGTTAGTCTTTTGATCATGTTGCTTACAGAACAAATAACCAATCGGATATCATTTTGGTAAATTGCCTATTATTGGGAGTGCACTCAAGTGCACACTTGCACATTTTTTAAGTTGCACTGTTTTGCTGTATAGTTGTTAGAATTTTTTACTTTAATGATTTATTGAATGATGACAAGAAGTGAGCATATCAGTATGAAAGCTTTACCTGCAGTTTAAGCTCATGACATTATTAGCTTTGATTACTGATTCAGACTAAAAAAGTGAAACTTCCACAGATATCAAATTTAGATAAATTTTCAGCACCTAGTGAAAGACTTTGTGCTATCCACAGGGGTGCCCATAAACATTCTAACCAACTGGAAGTGGTGTATATGACATTTCCTGAAAAACGAAGGTATTAAATTATTAGCTCCCTATGGTCAGATATTGAGAACACACACGCACAAACACACGTATGAAAGCAGGACAATTGACTGAGTCAGTGCAGTAAGCCCCTGGTGGGATAGTAAAGTAACTGACAGTATGATCTACATAAACCTGACGAACTTAACTGCAAGTAAATTCAGCTGCTTCCAATGTCTACCTGCAAGAAACTTGTACACTGTCCAGTGGGACTGAAAACTCAATCACTTCATACTACATTAAGAAAGTGAATTAAGATAGACACTAGCCTGCACATCCATAGGGGACTGTCCCTTGGGGACTCTACTTTTACTTGTGCAATGGGTTGGGTTCACTCTGGGTTTGGCACTATCCAGGGTGATCCCCCTTCCCCCCCCCCCC